GGAATCAAACAACTGAGAGATGCAACTTCCCTCAGACTTTAAAATCCCTCGATTCCCGCGTTTGAAGTTAGTGAATCTATTTATATTGCTTGGTTTAGGGCTGAGCAATATTTTTCATCAGTCAAAACCAATTAAAAAATAGCAACTGGGAGAAGACTTTTGAATTCAAGCAATGAAGATTTAAAAATATTTAGTTTGTTTAAAATAACACTGCATTTTTGGTAACTGCTTAAAACATTAAAAAAAAAAATATTAATTGGATGCTTCAGCTGATTTTGTTTCCTTAATCCAGTGAGTGTTTTACCGTTCTACTGCAGTCTGAAGGTACTTGCAAATTTCCAGCCCTTGTGTCCATCCACGGTTTGCACCACCACGTGGAGAAGTATTAGAATTGCAACTTCGGGAACAGTTGGTTGCATTTTAAAAGCGGCTCCCATCAGTAATTAAAAGCATCTCTCCCATCAGCTTCACTGGCTGGTGGAACCTGGAGAGCAAAGTCCTCTCTTGATCTACAGGACAGCAGAAACAAGCTCCCATCACAGCACTGCTGAGGCTTCTCAGCGTTACTCCCCTGATCTCTCCAGTCAGCACATTTCTTCAGGTAGGTCATTTGTTGTTACTGGAACGAACGACCACCACTAAAATATAGTAACTATGAAGAGTATGGGTATTTTATATAATCCTATAATCTTGCACATTCCCATGGTAAGTCCACTAACACTTCAGTACTTTCAAGTAATTCAGACTACAACACACACCACCTCTAACACCAATTGCTATGGTCTCTAACAGCACAGCTACCACTCAGCACCCTCCCGTTTCATAACTCCAACCACCTTACTGGCAAACCAGAAGACATGTGATGGCCCTTGGAAATCATCTTGCTGTAACAGCACTAGGGACTATCACAGAAATTGTGGTGTGTGAGAACTCTGAACATGCATGCCTCTACGAAAAATAACTTTACCGGTATCAAATGCTGCCACCTAGAAATCCAGGGAACACTGACTTCAACTTGCATGAAAAGAAACATGTTCTTTCTTGTTTAAATCTTAAAGCTTCACCAAATAATCATTTCAAGTTGAAAACAGACTTTGAACTATCAAATGCTCATGACTTGCATCGATGATTACAGTAGAACAGCACCAAGGAGGGATTGGGTGTTTTACTTTTGTGGAGGCAACACAAAACCTCAACTTAGTGTCACTGACTAGATCGGCCAGGGAACAAAACCCCACTCTGGCCACTATACGATTGACATCTAAAATACAGCTCAAACCAGGCTTCAGGAGGGTTCTCCTCAAATCCAGGAGTTGCAGACTTGTTACAACCAATTTTATTTCTATAAAAATGCTGTAACACACATGCCAATAGGAAAACTGGTTCTTTTGTCTCTTAAACCGCATCAGTCCTTTTTCTGCTGTGCAGCCTGCTTGGCATTGTTGGCCTGCATCTTCTTTAGCCCCTTTTTGTTGTGTTTCTTTGCAAACCTCATGTTCCTCAGAAACTTGGGATCAACCTATAAAGATAAGGAAAAAAAAATAAGCCACGATATACAAGAGACATATGTAAATATATATATATAATCTCCAAATTGCTCCAAATATTCCAAAATGCTGTCTGCAATTAATTCAGATTTTTGTTGTGATTTATTACACCAACAAATTTTAGTAATCTGTAGCCATTCTTCAACTAGCTATTTTCCTTAATTTCCATAAAAAACCCACAAACTAAAACTCCCAGCAATAAACATACAGAAAGGACAAAGCGAGTAAAAGCTGTGAATAAGGCAAATATAATTTCCATGTCACAACACATTCTGGACCTGAAGTACCACAAACCGACCTCAGCAAGGGCGCACATGTACAGGTAATCCTCGCACCAAGAGGGGTGACATTTCCTCAGGCCTTTCCTTTTTACATTAGAGGAAAAGTACCAGCACAGAGAAGAGAAGCTCCTCAGTTTTGTCAGCTAACGGCCAGCCAACGCATCCTGCGACAGCTAGAATCAGTCCTCAGAACTATCAGCTGAGGACTATCCCACTGAAAAAATTTTGCTATTTTACTGTAAAGAGTGTTTTAACTGTTACAACACAAGTATCAGGATTTTGCCACCTTAACTCATGTGCGCTCAGTGCAAGGAGACAGATTCAGAGACTGCTGGACTGTGCGGGAGGGAACAAAACTGAACCTGCATTAAGTGATGCAGAAAACAAGCTCCTGGACACATCCAAAAAGCTGATAATCACATCTACAAGGCAAACAGAACCACAACCTTCCCCAAAGCCAAAATGTGCTGCTTTCACTTTCCAGTGTGGAAAAAGACCTTGTTGTATCACTTGGCTCATCTCAAAACAAAAGTGAAATACTGTCATTCCATATGTATTGTCAAGAAACGCCAATTCCTCTTATCTTCTGAGTTGAACTCTCTGGATCAGCAGACAATTCTCTGGAGTAGCACAAATGGTAAAATAATACTGAAAGGTACAGAGATGTAGGAGAGACAGCAGGAGTGAAAAGGGAGAACGGCTACCAAACTGACAAGTGCTTGTTTCACTGGGAGCAGCAGTTACTGACACCCACCTGAGCAGGGCAGAGACAACACCGGCTAACAATTAAAAAAGTAGTTTTATAAACATACGAGGGCAGATTTTGCATGGGTTAGAAATATCACAGCTGCATGCAAGGTTAAGTAATATAAACCAGAAACCCAGTGCTTCTGATCACCTGAAATGCAGGCCCCTGCCTGCAAAAAAATACGTCAGTCAAAATAATACAAATATTGGACTATTTCATAGTTAAGTCTCAATGGCTTTACAGCCTGAGAATATCAACAGAAATACTCACCCCTTTGAGAGATTCGTATCTATGCTTTCTGGGTTTCTTGATGCCATTTCTGTGCCATTTACGGGCTATGTGGTAGAGCAGAAAACAACTTAGCTATTTTTGCCATTATTAAATAGCTGCATTAGCTTTCCTTTAAGTCTAGCTGACTCTATCAAAATGACGCAGAATAGAAAATTTTCTAACCCCCCCATATGAACTAAATACAAATTAATAACGTACCTCTATTCTTACCCTGCTGCACACTGTGCTCTCCCACTGTACATGTTTCTACCCCAAGATTTCAGGGTCATTAACTAGTAACATGCCAATGCTAACACGACGAGCACAACAAAAAAAAAAGACACTGGTCATTAGGAACTTCAGGCTTTTGTGTTTAGTGTTAGAAGGCACCACTGCTCACTGTGCAAGACTAAGCAGAACCTATGTGTGAACTCTGCTAGCCTACAGCATTGATGAAAACATAAAACACAAACAAGAACTGTCTGTGGTCACCTTCAGACGGCAAAATATCACAGGGTGAATGCCATTCAGTACCACCTTAGCTCAAACTATCACTCTTGCTTTTTTTCCGGCTGTGCGTTATTTACATCGAGCCCTGGCTCTCGTGGAACTCCTTTCCTTGAACAGACCCCTCGGTCTCTGCACACTCCCACCTCCTTCCCCTCCGAGCTTCCCTCGCTGCGAAAAATCAAGCCAGGCCGCGCTGCC